TGTGTCTTCACACTATCCAGACGGGAGAAGGTAGCATCACACAGATCGCACTTATATGGTTTCTCTCCCGTGTGAGTTTGGATGTGTTTCTTCACATCACCCAATTGAGAGAATGCGGCATCACACAGATCGCACTTATATGGTTTCTCTCCCGTGTGAGTTCTCATGTGTGTCTTCAGGTGAGCCGATTGTGCAAAGGTAGCATCACACAGATCGCACTTGTACGGTTTCTCTCCCGTGTGAGTTCTCATGTGTGTCTTCACATGACTCGTACAGGAGAAGGCGGCATCACACATATCGCACTTATATGGTTTTTCCCCCGTGTGAGTTCTCATGTGTGTCTTCACACCAATCAGACAGGAGAAGGCAGCATCACACAGATCGCACTTGTACGGTTTCTCTCCCGTGTGAGTTCGCATATGTATCTTCACATAATTCGATTCTGAGAATGCGGCATCACACAGATCGCACTTATATGGTTTCTCTCCCGTGTGGGTTTGGATGTGTTTCTTCACATCACCCAATTGAGAGAATGCGGCATCACACAGATCGCACTTATATGGTTTCTCTCCCGTGTGGGTTCTCATGTGTGTCTTCAGATTACCCGATGTTGAGAAGGCGGCATCACACAGCTTGCACTTATACGGTTTCTCTCCCGTGTGACTTCTCATGTGTATCTTCACACTACCCGATGTTGAGAAGGCGGCATCACACAGCTTGCACTTATACGGTTTCTCTCCCGTGTGACTTCTCATGTGTATCTTCACACTACCCGATGTTGAGAAGGCGGCATCACACAGCTTGCACTTATACGGTTTCTCTCCCGTGTGACTTCTCATGTGTATCTTCACACCACTCAGGCAGGAGAAGGCGGCATCACAGAGATCGCACTTATACAGTTTCTCTCCCGTGTGAATGATCATGTGTTCTTTCTGGTGACCCGCTTGTGCAAAGGTAGCATCACACAGATCGCACTTGTATGGTTTCTCTCCCGTGTGAGTTCTCATGTGTGTCTTCACATAACTCGTACAGGAAAAGACGGCATCACACAGATCGCACTTATATGGTTTCTCCCCCGTGTGGGTTCTCATGTGTGTCTTCACATTACTCAGACAGGAGAAGG